TAAGAATTCTGAAGTCCCCTGTGATTACACTGTATGAGGAGGCCTTTGTTTAGCTGGTGGCAGTGTTCGCAGGACAACGGACTTCAAGTGATATATGCAAATGTGTCCTTTTCCCATTACTGAAAGTGACCTTTATGATTAGATTGGAATAGCAACATCAGTTCCTGGGTTAATAAGGCTTACTGGCCTACGGGGAGGGAGCACGTTCTCCTCGCAAGATTTAAAAACTAGCACTTAGACACATCAACTTCTAGCCTTCACCACGGCTGCAGGATCTCACGTGATGCTGGCGAAACCCTTCGCCTCCGTGCGCCTTGTTTGCTGTCTTGGGAAATCAGAGGAAACCATCTTTCCCAGGAGTGTTGTGAGCCTTTAATAGTTTCACATAAAAGTCGGAAGAGACGCCTTAAATAATATCACAACATATCAGATCCCCATACAGGACACTTTTCAGATTATTCTAAGCCCCAGTGGCATGGGCTGATTCAGGTCAGATGCAGAGACATCATGTCAATAAAAGTCATTTTTAACCGCAGTTAAGAGTTATTGTTTAGGGGCCGGCCCAGTGGTGTAGTGGTTAAGTTCACGTGCTCCACTTTGGCGGCCCGGAGTTTGCGGTTCAGATCCTGGGTGTGGACCTACACACCATTCATTAGGCCATGCTGTGGTGGCATCCCACATAGAAGAACTAGAGGGACTCGCAGCTAGGATAGACAACTATGTACAGGGGCTTTGGGGAGAAAAAAAAAAGTAAGATTGGCAACAGATGTTAACTCAGGACGAATCTTCCTCAAAAAAAAAGTGATTGTTTATTGGCAAAACGGTCCTGCTGCAGCTAAATACAGAAAACACCAGAAGGTCATCTTCCTGAAGGAGTGGTATGGCCTCCCCAGGCAAGCTGCTCCCTCCAGCTGCCCGCCAAGCAGGCACAGTGAGGTCAAGCTCCTGCTTTCCCTTCGGGACAATGGGTTTAGCTGTAAGTTAATCGCCCTTTCCATACTCATCATCATCATTTATTTGCCCTGTCATAACAACTTTACATTTTTTAAATGCCTTAAAATAACCTGACCAGTTTCTCCAAGTCAACATGTAGTAAGAATCGGTGGAGAAAGCCAGACTAACTTAAAGACACAGAGCAAGAAAAAAAAAATTAAAAGTAGTGTTATTTAAAAGAAGAAAGCACCAGCTGCGGTTAGAAAGAGGAGACTCTAGCCACTTTTAGTCAAAAAAAAAAAAAAAAAAAGAAAAAGGCAAGGTTTGCAAGTGCATGAACATTTGTATAGGTTACACTTACTGTTTGCAAATAAAGGCCCATTTTAAAGCGCTACTAAAGTGTATGTAGCAAAAGAAATTGACATCAGCTTGTTAATGTATTGTTCTTTGTGCAAGAGGCATTTGGCTGGGTTTCCCATCCATCAGGTTAAATGGTTAAGTACTTAATTGCTTAGAAAGTAATCCTATTATTTCAGATTTCATGCATAATGAATTTTTTCCCCTAATTTGAGGAATTATGAAGGGAAAGTGAGATTCTCTGGTAAGTTTATTTTTGGAAAAGCACTTGACAGATGTTGTAACATCCAGGCGGCCTCGGTGAGCACAAGGTTGCCAGCAGCAGACTGAGGAGCGGGTCACAGAGGGTGACCATGTGAAACCCACGTGACAGTCAAATGAGGTGATGTCTGCCTTTGGTTCCGAGCATGAAATCACCGTAAAAACACGACATTTTAGGAGCAGGGCATAAATGAATACTTTGTTTCATTAAAGCCTCTAGCAGTCCTCAGGGGAAGTTGTGAGTTTGAGGATATGTTTCAGTCCCCGGCATTTCACAGGAAATTTGCGCACCTATGAGAAGTTTCGGGGAAACAGGGCATGCCTTTATTTCACCATTTCTGTCACAAATGACTAGACAAGAAGGTGAGTACAAGCAGATGGGGTGACCAGGATCGACGGGCCAGAGGAGGTGCTGGGTGAATAGAGGAATTCTGAGCACCCACAGGCTCCCAGTATGTAACGCAAGTGTCCATACAGATTTGTGGTGTGGACGGAGGACCTGACAGACCGAGTGACAAAGAAAGATCAGCCAATGCTTTTCCTTGTAGGACCCCTCCACTCCCCACCTCAGATGATTGGGAAATGGGGCTTCTGATTAATATGCCGTAAATGAACCACTCAATTTCCAAAAAGTGTTCAAAGGCCTTAATAACATTTTCACCACCCAGACCAATCCAGCCATGATTCATGTGACTCTTTGATTCGTCCTAAAGCCCTTTAGGATATTGCAGGGCCTCGGCATCATTTGTCATGCCACAGTTCAGCAGAAGCATTCTGCAAATGCTTGTTTTCAGCTAACTTTGATTCTCAACAAATAGGAATTTATTGCACTTACATTTTTATTCTTGCTGTCATCATTAGCCAGAGAGATAGGTTCAGGAGGATGTCGAGCAAGTAGCTAGGTAATGATTAGACAAGGTGAAGGTGAAGAAAAATATGTCTAGCATGTTGTTACAACACCTTCAGATCAAATTCTAGTCCCAACAGAAAAACCATCAGAGCTATGTGCATACCAGCTACTTTAACGCTGTTTTTCTGTCACTGGAGGTGAGAGTCTGTCACATTATCTGCCTGGGAGAAAATTCTCATTGGAACGTCGGTGAGTGGGGCGAGCAGTTGGCCAGAACTCCTTGCCCACTCCTGTTTCCTCTTCCTTTCCCCCAGAGCCTGGGGCTCCTGAGGCAGGCCACCAGTCCTAGGGAGTTATAACCTTCTCCTTACTGTGTTGCTTTCCAGAAGGGCCTGAAGAGACGCCACTTCATCTAGGGCACACTCTGATCGCATTTGATGACCCATTTGTTCCTGCTACCTTGGAGCCCACCTTCTTGTACCTACAAATCAAATCATAACCCCAAAACGTTGACCTTGCCCTGACGTATTAAATTAGACATGGCTGACCTTGCTCTGAGACATCATGTGAACATATAACAAAGGAAGTTTGAAAGGAAGAATGAACGAGACAGAAGGACAATTGTCTGATAATTTGGGTCCGTAAACAGAAAGGAATGGAAACCATGGATGGAGACAGAACAGTGACATCTCTTATAACTATACAGCATCTGCGCTTTCGTACTCATCTCTCATGTTAGACGATTCTAGGAAATGGATTCAGTTATTCCTTCTAACTAATAAATTAGGAATTTCTGATGGATAGCCACAGTTCTGAGTGATCTAGGGGACCTAAGCACCTGCTGTATGCTAAGTCCTAAAACCAGTGCATAACATAAATTATCTCAGCTAATCACTAAAACTACCACGTGAGCTGATAATATTATCCCCTTTCTATAAATGTGGAAACGGAAGCTCAGAAGCCTGGTCAGGGTCACGCTGCAGAGCTGGGAGCCAACCTCAAATCTGAGGGATTTTAAAGTCTGTGCTCTTTTATGGTGGGATATGAAAGGAGAACCTCGAGGTTTTCCACTTGGAAGTGCAGACTGTGTTAGGAAGATGTGCATCTATCCACGCGCAGCAAGCAGAGAACAGCGCCCATGATCGCGATGGTCCTGGGATGGTCACGCCTGCTGGTATCCCTAGCCGACAGTTCAGGCATGACATTACAGCTATCTTTCATCCCAGCCATAATCTCCTTTAGTTCATTTACTTTTACACCATCAGTAGCTCAGACAAAGCTTAATGCACAGTAGGAATGCAATGCAGTTCGTTAAACGAGAGATTATGATGCATATTCTGCATAATCAAATCCTAGGGGGTCTGCCATTTCCATTCGTCTGGTGCTCTTGTTTCTTGGCAGCATTTTCTCTGTCTCAGGCCTGGTGTCACAGGCGCCTGGGACACCTCCTCTGACAGCCCCAACACAGCCTGCCCACGCAGCCCTCACTCCTCCTCTGCCGATTGTTACGGCTGCTGCTGCACAAACATCATCGGGGCTGCTGTTGACATCTGATTCACACGTTTCCATTGTTTTTGCCCCTGTGAGAATTCTGGTTGGGGAATAACTAATACATGAAAATAAGTGAGGAAATAAAAATGAGGAAGAGGAGAGCGGGAAAAAAGCTTCCACATCCTATTTTTTTACAAGTCAGGGTATAAATGCTGAATAGACATTCACTCAAAGAATAACGAGGAGGTGAATTACATCTGGTACCCTCGCTGACCCTTGTGATTCAATTTAGTCATGAAAAGGTCCAGCCAGTCATTGCCTAGGTGTGCCCAGACTTATGCAGTCTGCTCAGGGCTGTGGAGAACGTGGAAGTGAGAACTTAAGTCAAGGTGAACCCGCAACTTTCTCTGCAAACACAAGGGCTTGAAAATCGGCCATGCATTACCCTGTCTGCTTAATACTCAGGCAGCAGCACTTGGGAGCACAGCCACCATGAGAAAGGAGAATGGACCGCGTGCTTGCACAGCTTCGTGGACATCCCCATTCCCACTGTTTTCTGTGTACCCTTTGAAGCATAAATGCCTCCAGAGGAGGTGCAGATCAACCGTGTTACAGTCTGAGAACAAGTTCTATATTCCCCGCTTGGAGGGGTTGTAGTGGATGTAGGAAGTGAGCCAGCTCACTTTCCATCTCCCCTACCTCCAGGCCTCACTCTGGCTTCTTCATTTTTTTTTTTTTTTTTTGAGAAACACATCTGCTGCCAATCCTCCTCTTTTTGCTGAGGAAGACTGGCCCTGAGCTAACATCCATGCCCATCTTCCTCTACTTTATATGTGGGACGCCTACCACAGCACGACATGTCAAGCAGTGCCACGTCCGCATCCGGGATCTGAACCAGCAAACCCCAGGGCCACTGAAGCGGAACGTGCGCACTTAAACTGCTGCGCCACCGGGCTTCTTCATTTTAATGAGAATGAACACCCAGAACAAGAGAGAGGCTGAGTACTCCAACTGACAGCAAAGAAAACTCTGAAAGTCAAAAGTCTTTCCCTCAATTTCAGTACCATTGCTCTTTTAAAGAGTTAGGATTTAATTTGTATTTTTTATTTGCAAAAGGTACAAAAGCGTAGATAATGTAGAGGAAGTCTGTCTCCCGTCTCTGTTTTCAAGTCATATACTATCCCCGCCAAGGGCAATCACTGAAACTGGTTTCTGGGGTTTTCTCTGAGAGACACTCGATGTATCTACAAGCATATATATTTAATATTTAAATATATTTAAATATACGTACATATATATTTAAAACACAAATGGAATTATCCTGTATACACTGTTGGGCACCCTGTTTTGTTCTGCTTCTTGTTTTCTCCTTTGTCAGTGTGTCTTGGACAGATCATTCCAACATCAGCACATTTAGAGCGTCCTCATTCTTTCTAAGGGCTGTGTAGTATTCTCTTTTTTGGACAAACTTTATTTAACAGTCCCTTCCTCTAGACATTTAAATTGTTTTCCATTGTTGCCAGTACGAACAGTGCTCAGTCAATGTCCAGATATTATTTCACACGTTTCTGTGTTTAAGGAGGATCAATTCCCATTGGAGGGATTGGGGTGTCAAAGGAGTAAGGTCTAACTACTACCATCCTCAGATACAGGTGTACACTGTGAGCTACCCATTCGCTTCAGCCTCATGTCTACTCTTGGCCTCCACCTTACACCCCAGCCACAGGAAACCACTAGAAAGTGCTGTGTTGTCTCAATCCTCTCTGTCTACTGTTCTCTCAGCCCGAACAGGCCCTCCTACACCCCATCCCACCTCCTCCTTTGGCACATGATCCTTTGGATCTCAAACTAGACAGCATGACTTCCTCTTGGTAGCTTTCTGGTTTCTCAAGAGATGGCGTCCATGCCTTCCCGTGTGCACCCAGAGCACCTGCGCTTTCACCTAATGGCAGAGAACATACAGAAGACCAAAAATAAATTAGCAAACAACACACAGGAAAAAATTACAGACCGTGAAATGGATTATAAAGGAAATAAACAGAGCATTATGACAGAGAATGATGGAAGAACCTTCATTTCCTGGAATGTTCCGCAGGAGAGGGAATGAGTCAGGTGAAGAGCTCGGGGAAGTGCATTCCAGGACGTGGGAAGGGCAAGGACAAAGGCCCTATGTTGGGAAGAACTTGGCTTCCTTGAGAAACAGAAACAAATCAGGTCTAAGCTGGAACACAGGGAGCCACTGCGAGAGGGGTAAATAAGCTCTAAGAAGCAGGTAGGGGCAGGATGATGTAAGGTGGCCATGTGAGCAGTGTGGATATTATTCTAAGTACAATTAGAAGCCATCAAAGGGTTTTATAGACGCGAGTGACATGTTTTGATTTACAAAAGGAGAATACACCCTTTAGTAACAGGGCGCTTGGTGAGCGATGATGGTGGCCTGGACCAGGATGGTGGCAGTGGAAATAGAAGTTGATGGAATGAGGTATTTTGAAAGAAGAGGCAGCAGGATCTGCTGATTGATTGAATGTGATAGTGAGGGAAAGAAATGAATAATGGAAGTTCTCGGGTTTCTGTCTTGAGAAACTGAATGCACCCTGGGAGCTTAAACAAGGTGGTGGCCATGGAGAAGAGTGAATGGATTTGAGGGATATTTAGGAGGGAGAATTAGGAGGGTGTGATATTGTTGGATGTGGGGAAGGGTGATGGAATGGAGGTTGGGGAGGAACGACTCCCAGTATTTTGATGTATATGCCTGAATGGATGGGAGTGAGACAGGAAAAACTGCAGGAGGCCTAGGTTTGGGGGAGATAATACCATGAATTTAGTTTGGTCTTTGTAGCATCTGTGGATTAAGGGCCTTTGAAACATCTAAGTGAAGATGACAAATAGGCAATAAAGTTTTGGATCTTAAAGGAGAGAACTGGGTAGGAGATATATATGTAGGAGGTAATGATGTATAATTGATAACTGGAGTCATGAAAGCGGTGGAGGTTGACTGGGAACAGTTTTATACAGTGAGCAGAGGACCCAGGCCCACAGCTGGAGGAGCTATGGCATTTAAAGCTCAGGTGCAACTTTCAGGTTTGGAGGACAACGTTGGCTGCCTAATTCTGAACTTTCCCAATTACTCTTCCAAAATATCCATAAATCCAACAAGGAGGGCAAACAAAACCACTTGTGACCCACATCTTCAGCAGTACTAGGAGACAGAAAATACCATGACACTCAAATTACCTGTAAGTAGAAAACAAACCAAATTCCAACAGCTCCTGCCACCCACTCCCCACCACAAGCCTGTGGGTGTGGAGAACAGGGGAGAGGGAGCTCAAAGACTCAATAAAACAAGAGTGGAGGAACACGGAAGACAGAAAAACGCCACCTCCGGAAAGAGAAGGTCTGAATGCAAGTCTGGGCCTGGTAATTATAGCACTAGCTGCAGGAAAGCAGCTTGAAAGTGTGCAGGAAAGGAAGTGGCATCGTGGAGAAGCATGGCCTCTGGGGGAGACTCAGCTATGTGGGAAAGGGAAGGCACCTCCTGGAGACAGGGCAGTGAAGGAAAGGAAGGAAACGAGGAGAAAATGAAAGCTCCTGTGGAAAGAGAAAGCATGCCAGCGCCTTCCCCCACTCTACTGGAATGAATGAAAACAGAAAAAAGCAGACTACATCCATACAAAACTCTACATTGTAAAGTCAGAACACATAACTCAAAGTATTTCAGCTAGTGAAAATTCTCTCCAGAAAAATGACCACGAAAATGAAGAAAACCATAGCATAATACTTCACGCTGGATTACATATTTTCAAGCAGCATTTAGGGATTTGAGAAAACATCTTGAATGAGAAATACAAAAATTGAGAACAAAAATGAAAAGAAAAAGAAATGAAACAAAGGAATATTAAACTCAGGAAAACAATAGAAAAATATGAAATTCTTACAAGAATTGAAAATTCCTATCCAAGGGAGAATAAATTCAAATAAAGTTTTCATAAAGGATATTGAAGAAAAACAGGAAAAAATCAGGAGACAAAAAATGAGGCAAAGATATAAAAAGGGTCATAGAAAAAGTGATTGGAATGGAAGGCAAAATAGGTCCAGTATTCTTATACTTGGAGAACCTGCAGAAGATTTAAGCAATGAATCAGAAGTTAATTTTAAAACTGTAATCCAAGAAAACTTTCTAGGAAAAAACTCAAACCCTGAATCTATTCATTAAAAGGACCTACTGGTACCCATGTTCATAGTAGCATTACTCACAATAGCCAAAAAGTGGAAGTAACCCAAGTCCATCAGTGGATGAATGGATAAATGAAACATGGCATATACATACAATGGAATATTATTCAGCCCTAAAAAGGAAGGAAATCCTGACATATGCTACAATGTGGATGAACTTGGAGACATGCTAGGTGAAATAAGCCTGTCACGAAAAGAAAAATACTGAATGATTCCACTTGTAAGAAGAACCCAGAGTAGTCAAGTTCATAGAGACAGAAAGTTGGGATATGGGAGTTGTTGTTTCATAGGTGTGGAGTTTCAGTTTGGCAAGATGAAAAGGTTCTGGGGATGGGTTGCACCACAATGTGAATATACTTAACACTACTAAACTGTACATTTAAAAGTGATTAAGATGGTAGATTTTACATGTATTTTACTATGATTTTTTAAAAAAGGAAAGACTGGGCACCTCAGAATGAACCCAGGATGATCAACTTTGAGATATCCTAGTGTATTTGTTATCTATTTTGGTATAACAAATTACCCCCAAATTTAGCAGCTTAAAATATCAGACAATTACTATGTCACAGTTCCCTTGGGTCAGGAATCCAGGAGCAGCTTAGCTGAGTGCCTCTGCCTAAAGGTCTCCATGGAAGCTGCAATTAGGTTGTCATCCCCGGTCTCCCCTGGAGGCTCGATTAAAGGAGGAGCTCACATGGTTTCTGGCAGCTACGATCCTCAGTGGCTGTTGGTAAGCCATATCAGTTCCTTGCAAAGTGGGCCTCTACATAGGTCAGCTCACAACATAACAGCTGGATTCCATCAGAGTGTGCAAGCGAGAGAGCGAGAGAGGGTGAGGAAGAAGGAAGCCAGAATCTTTTTGTAACCCAAACTTGGAAGTGACATCTCATCATTTTTACCATATTCTATTTGTTAGACGTGAGTCACTGTTTCAGCCTACACTTGAGGCGAGGGGACTAAACAAAGGCATGAATACTAGGAGGAGGGGATTGTTGGAGTCTGCCTACTAGGCCTAGTGAAATTATTAGACTTTAAAGACAAAGAAGAAATCTTCAGGGCCTCCAGGCAAAAAGATGAAATAATTTTCAGTGACAACGGTAGAACAGTATTCTCAAGAAACTTAAGGAAAGAAATTATGAACCAGGAAAAGTATTCAGCCAAGCTATCCTTAAAGTCTCAAGGCTATCGAAAATGGTCCGGAGTGGGCAAGAACGCGGGAATACCAGACACAGGTGCTTTTCATAAGAAATCTAGTAAAACAGGTGTATTAGGGTTTTCCGGAGAAGCAGAACCAATAGGATAAACATATAGGAAAAGATTTATTGTAAGGAATTGGCTCACGCAATCATGGAGGCTGAGAAGTCCCATGATCTGGCACCTGCAAACTGGAGACCCAGGAAAGGCAGTGGTGTAACTCAGTCTGAGTCCAAAGCCCTGAGAACCAAGAGCGCCCGGGGCAGGCGAAGATCAAGGTCCCAGTTCAAGCAATTCAGCAGGAATGATCCCATTCTTCCCTCCTCTGCCTTTTGCTCTAATCAGGGCCCTCAACAGATTGGATGATGATCTCCCATACTGGGGAGAGCAACATAGATTGCTTTCCCCAGTCCACTAATTCAAATGCTAATTTCATCCAGAAACACCTCACAGACACACCTGGAAATAATGTTTAGCCAATTATCCAGACACCCTGTGATCCAGTCAAGTTGACACATAAAATTAACCATCACAGCAGGGATCAGCAAACCGTGGCTGTGAACCAAATCCAGCCTGCCTCTCATTTTTGTAAGTAAAATTTTACTGGAACATAGCCCCACCCATTCACTTACGTATTATCTATGACTGCTTTCACACTACAGCAGCAGACTAATTCGACAGATTGCCACAAAGTCTAAAATATCTACCATTAGGCTCATTAATGAAAACGTTTACCTACTCTCATACCAGACGATGGGCTTCACCCAATAAGAGACGATAGGAGAAATTGGCAAAGGAACTGACGGTGAGCATTTCCTATATTGCAGAGCCCAGGCTAAAATAAGGCTGGAATTATGGGTATAAGAATAATACATAAACATTGTATGTTCTGAAAAAGCAGGAAAAAAATGCATCTCAAAATGGGAAGACGAAAGAGAGTGCAAAGAATAAGATTATACATTTCTCTACGCATAATACTAAAGGATGCTATTAAGAGTGCGCATGCGTCGGCATTGGCACGCCGGGTCAAGATGGCGGCGGTGGCTCGCGGTGGCTGCTGGGCCAGAGCGGCAGGTGGCGTGGAGCCCGCTATGGGGCACCAGGCGTTTGGGGCTGTGAACTTCGCCCACTGGGGAGAAGATCGTGCACACTGACCGGGTTTATGTTAAAGCCTGCAGGAAAATTCCATCTTTAGGTCATCAGAGAGAGGTGAGTGAGACCTTGCTGTTGAATTTGACAGCAGAGCAGCCGGTAATGAAGTTGAGAGTCGAGTGATGGCGTGTGACGGCTGTGGGGGCTTTTGGCTCCCCGAGAGTGTATGTAAACTTGAACAAAGAAACCCAGACTGGGTCGTGCAGTTATTGTGGACTCCAGTTCAGACAGCACCATCCCTCGAGTGCATCCTGCCCCCTGGGTCTTAGGATCCTTTGGAAATATATCAAACACCACTCCCTGATAATAGAGCACATACAGAGAACATTCTGAAATGTGATAATATTTAGGGCACAAAGAAACCTTGATAGGTTTTATCAAAGTGAAATATTACTAACAATTTCCGAACACAATACAATAAAGTTAGAAATTAAAGACAAAACTAAAAACAAAAAAGACGCTTCCACCTGGAAATTTTGAAAAATTTCTGTTAAACAACTTGGGTTATAAACAGAAATGTGAACAAACATTACAGAATTTCTGAAAAATAATGATAGTGAAAAGGCTGTAAGTCACTATATATATATATCTTCTATGTATAAGAAGCAATGATCATGCAGCATTATTCACAGTAGCCAAGAGGTGGAAGCAACCCAAGTGCCCATCGACTGATGAATGGATAAAGATGATGTGGTATGTATATACAATGGAATACTACTCAGCCATAAAAAAGACAAAATCATCCCATTTGCAACAACATGGATGGACCTTGAGGGTGTTATCTAAGTGAAATAAGCCAGACAGAGGAAGACAAACACCATATGATTTCCTTCCTATGTGGAAGATAAACAAACACATGGACAAAGAGAACAAATTAGTGGTTACTAAAGGGAAAGGAGGTTGTGGGGTGGGCGAAAGGGGCAAAGGGGAGCATATATATGTTGACTGATACACAATAATGTACAACTGAAATTTCCCAATGTTATAAAGTATTATGACCTCAATAAGATACGAAAAAAAGAGGAAAAAAAGAGGCAATGGTCAGAAAAAAATTATGGCCCTCAACACCTACATCAAGTAAAATTTTAAAATGAAAATAAATGAATTACATTCCCAATTCAAAAATCCAGAAAAAAGAATAAACCAAAAGAAAGCACAAAAAGATAATAAAGATAAATATGCAGAGATTAATGAGATTGAAAACAGAAAGATAGTAAATCAAATCTACTAATCAAAATTCTGGTTCTTTGGGGAAAATGCACAAAATAGACCACTAGCTAGTTTAATCAAGAAGGACATGTGATGACAGAAGCAGAGTCAGAGAGAGAGAGATTTGAAGAGGCTACACTGATGGCTTTGAAGATGAAAGAAGGAGCCACAAGCCCACAATGCAGGAAGCCTCTAGGTGCTGGAAAGGCAAGGGAGTGGATTCTTCCCAGGGCTTCCAGAAGGAATGCAGCCCTTCTCTTGGGTATGTACTTAGAAGTAGAATTCCTGAGTCATATGGTAACCTGTGTTTAACCATTTGAGGAACTGCCAGACTATTTTCCAAAGTGGCTGCACCATTGTACATTTCTACCAGCGGTGTCTGAAGGTTCCAATCCCTCTGCTTCTTCACTAACACTTTCTATTGTCTCTCTTTTTTTTTTTTTATTATATCCATCTTTGTGGATGTGAAGTGATCTGTAGCTTTTATTTGCATTTCCCTAATAACTAACGATGTTGAACATCTTTCCATGCGACCATTTGTCTATCTTCTTTGGAGAAACACCTGTTCAAATTCTTTCATCATTTAAAAATTTCTCTCTTTTCTTTTGCTTTATGAATTCTGGATCCAAGTCTTGTTCTTTTCTTTGGAGCATCTTTGCCGGATTGTTCATTTTCCTTGACTCTCTGTATTGGTGTTTGTGCATCAGACAAAGCAGGTACCTCTCCCATTCTTCATGGACTGGTGTTGTACTCTGGTCACCCAGTTCAGACAGAGATTCTGGGAGCCTCTACCAACTCTTTTCCTCCTCAGGGAGGAGCAGGTAGCTGTGGTTTTCATCTGCTCACTCTGTGCTGAGCTGGGGTTTGGGGGAAGCCCTGGCAGCTGTTGGTCCAAACCACTGTCTCTGTTCTCCCCCATGCAGCTAGACTGTGCTGACCTGTCAGAGATTCAAGACTGGTAAGACAGATGCTAGTTCTTTGGGCAGTCCCAGAGAGGGGTAGTGGACAGAGAGATCAACTGTTTACCTCCCTAGGGGGCAGTTGATGGCTGGGATTTTTCATCCACTGACTCTGTGCCAGGCTAGGGAGGGTCTGTGGCAGCTACCAGCCCAAACCACCATGTCCGTTTTTCCCTAGGAAGCTAAACTGTGCTAGACCTTTTAGAGCTCCAAGATTGGCAAGACAGAAGCCAGTCCTCTGGGGAGCCTCCTTGGGAGAGTGGGGTGCTGGATGTGTAAACCAACCCCTTCCTTCCCCTGGGTTAAGCAGGGAGCTAGGAGGTCTCTTCCTGATCAAACGGTGCTGTGCTGGGTGCAGGGACTCCAGCCAGAGGGTGTCCTGAATCTCCTTACTGGCGTTGGTGAGTCCAGTTTTTGCTCTCCCAGGTGCAGGAGGCTTTCAACTAGTTTCTGGATTTCTCAGAAAGAGACTTTGTGAATTTTTGCTGAATTGATGTGTGTGTGGGGGGAAGGAGGGTCTAGGGCTTCCTACCCCACCATCTTGCTGACATCACTCTCATTTCAGCTTGAAGGACCTCGTTTATTATTTATATAGGGAAGGTGTGCCAGTGACAGATTTTCTCAGTTTTTCTTTATCTGGGAATGACGTAATATTTCATTTGTTTCTGAAAGATAGTTTTGCTGGATATAGCATTCTTGGTTGACAGTCTTTCAGCACTGTCACTGTGTCATCCCATTGCTTCCTGGTCTCCATGGTTTCTGATGAGAAGTCAGCTAAAAATCATACTGAGGATCCCTTGTATATGATGGATCACCTTTCTCTTGCATGTTTCAAGATTCCTTCTTTGTCTTTCTATAATTAGACTATGATCTGTCTAGATGTGGATTACTTTGAATTTGTCCTACTTGGAGTTTGTTCAGTTTCTTAGATTGTTTTTGAATCAAGTTTAGGAAGTTTTTGGTCATTATTTCTTCAAATATTCCTCCTGCTCCTTTCTCTTTCCCCTGTTCTTCTGGAATTTTCACTATTCATATATTGGTATACTTGATGATGTCCCACCAGTCTCTAAGGCTCTGTTCATTTTCCTTCATTGTTTTTTCCTCACATTAGGCTGGATAATTTCAATTGGCCTATCTTTAAGTTTGATGAGTCTTTCTTCTGCCAGTTCAAATCTGCTCTGGTACCTCTGTAGTAAATTTTTAATTTGTTATTGTACTTTTTAACTCCTGAATTTCTATTGTATTTAGTAATTTCTCGCTCTGTATTGATATTCTCCATTTGTTGAGCCATAGTTCTCAAACTTTCCTTTAAATCTTTAGGCATGGTTTTCTTGAGTACTTTGAACATATTTACAATAATTGATTTAAAGTCATTGTTTAGAAAGTCTAACATCTAGGCTTCTTCAGGGACTGTTTCTATTAACTGCTGTCCTCTCGTTGCCAAGCCCCCATCATAGATAGGACATACTTTCCTTTTTCTTTGAGTGTCTCATAATTTTCTTGTTGAAAACTGGACATTTTAGATATGATGAGGTAACTCTGGAAATTAGATTTCCCTCTCCCTGCCACCTACCCAGGGTTTTTGTTGTTACCATTTGTTGTTGTTGTTTGTTTCATGACTTCCCTGGATTAATTCTGTAGAGTCTGTGTTCTTTGTTATGTGCAGCTACTGGCGATCTGCTCATTTAGCTTAGTGGTCAGCTAACAATTGGACAGATTTTCTTAAATGCTTTGGACCATTAAATCTCCCCTTTGCTGAGGGGCTCTGTGTGTTTGTTGGGGCACACCTTCAGTGCACTGTCAGTTTGTAACTCTGCCTTAGCCTTCACTTCTTGCTCATGCAGAGCCTCAAGGTCATCTAGAAGTGAGAGATTAGGGCCTTCTCAGAACTTTCCTGGGCATGAGCACAGCCCTGTATCTGTGCGTGGACTTCTAGATCCCCAGGAATATGTTGGAGCTTTTCAAAGCCCTCTTTGTACATCTCACCCCCCAGATTGGCCTTTTCTGTTTTTCAGCCCCGCTGTTTATTCACCTGGTATCCCCGCCTCAGGCAGCCAAAATGTAGACAAGCAGCTCTGATTGTTTCTGACAAACTCCCTGGGGACAGGGCCATTTCCACTGAGTGAGCTCTCAGTGAGGTCAAATAAAGGAAGTCGTATGAATGGGGCTGTTGCAGGGAACTGCCAGACAAGTCAAATAGTGACAGTTCTCTGGGCACGAGCCTTGGGGAGCTGCAAACCCATTCTGTCCCCTCCAGTGGCTGATAGGCTGCCATTTTTCACAGTTACTGTTGTTGCCAGGCTGTTGGTTTGCAAAGTTACTGTGGCACTGTGGAGAGGGGAATGAGAATAAGGTAAGATAAAACACAGAAAGCTTACTGTTCTTTCCAAGATTCAGTTGCTGTCTTGAATTAGGACCCCTCAGATTGTTGCAAGCTTTTGGTTAATGTCCGCAGTTCTGAAAAAGTTGATGACGACAATTTTTGCTAGTGTTGTGATTGCTTTTATGGAAGAGTGGATTTTCAGAAGTTTTTATCCCACCATTCCAGAACTTCTTCCCCTTGTTCTTGAAAAATTTCTGGAAGATCTCTATCAGTTAGGGCTCCATCAGAAACACACAACCACAGGAGTTATATATGAAGAGATTTACTGCAAGGCATTGGTTTATGTGAGTGTGGGAGCTGATGGGGTCAGTCCA